GGGCAGATATGATGGAAATAGTCTGTGTCCCAGGTAGCGTGGCGTTGCTCGACGTTGCATGTTTGGGGATACTTTTTAGTGCTTTGAATGTCGGGATTAAATGCCGATAATGAAGGTTCACAACGCGCTGTATTTCCTCATAAGTCCATAACTTGTAGAAATACGTTGGATGGTTATCTTTCCAACTCGATCTCCACTTTGCCACAGTATCCTGTAAGAATAAAAATATGTGAACCTTTTTTAAATGGCGTCAGCGCCTCAGCAGGCGAAACTTTACCCTCGCCAAGGCCCCAACACTATCATCTGAGATTTGATGTATCATTCTCGGCATCCTTCCGCATTCCCAGCTAATTCCAACACCCCAAAAATCCGCACTGCTATTGTCGGATAAGTTGCCACAGATGCCATCCTCGGCAGGCGAGGATGCGATTTTAGCCTGCTCCTGTGCTTTTGTTCCTTTTTCATCGACCGCCGCATCCTCACCAGCAGGAGGCAGCAATATGCGGAAATTTGGCTGTTTCCCGTATCCATCGTTGGGGCTATCCTCACGTCTCGCCTCAGCATCATCAGCGTACTTGACTGAAGACCTCCAGTTCACGCGATACAATAAGAACAGGCAGAAAGCGATTGCAGTAATGAGGAAGAGCTTGGAAATGGTGCGCCGTCTCTTCCTGGATACAAGAGAGATCGGGGCAATTGTGGCGAGCATGGTTGATCTGCTGAGGGACATCATCCTCGCCTCTCGCAAGACGCCCGACAGAAGTGTTTGCCAACGATCAGTACAAATCCCGTGATTCGCAGTTCAAACTCCGATGAATGTCAACGCCGAAGTCATCCACCTTGCTGATCTGTGGCTTGACCTTTTCTGTCCTTGGATCAAATCCGAGACGGCTTCCATCACCTACTTTTTGCTACTGCTGGAACAGCATGGGGGGGTGCTGGTGTCGGCTTGTGCCACAGAGGCTCGCACGAAATGGTTGAGCTGCTGCGACGTGAATGCAGCCATCTCCTCACGCCCGCATCTCCACCATCCTTCCTCCTCCGCACTTCGCCTTTGATCCGTCCATGCGGCTAGTCGCGGGGTGGAGGGGGCGGGGTGAGCAGTTGGGGCGGTCTGAAGGTCGCAAGAGGCGGAATTCTGGCATGCGAAAAAAGACTCAAATTTGCTTTTTATTTTTCATCGCTTGAGCCTTCATCCAAAACTCGCTGGAGACAACCGACCACAGCGGCAACGAGCGACTGACCATTGACGCCGCATTCAGAGCGCATTGAAAGGAAAGCCGGACTCGTCTTCACACCGATGCATGCGACAGTAAGCTCCATCTTCTCGAATGAGGAGGCGTATGCTGCACCACCTATCGTACACAGCGGTGTGAGTGAGGACAATACAGTTGGCCATGCATTCACATCGGGGGAGCATCTATGTATTGGAGAAGTTACATCTGTAACCGGTGCAACAGAGGCTTCATCAGTTGCCTCACCATCCCCTCCCGCGGAGCTTGGAGATTTGGCGGGAGAGGCCTCGATGGAATCTGCGACCTTGGACGGAACCTACATCCTTGCAGCGGATGGAACTCCTCGACACTCAGATGGTCCCACACGACCTCCCATGAATCCACCAATTCCAGCCTATCGGCGAATTGGGCATGGTCGAAAGAGAATTACGCAGTTCGAGATCGGCTTTGATAATAATCGCACCATCTTCATGCCTGGGCAGCGTATCGAAGGTTAGTATCATTTGATATTATAGGGATCTTTTGATCATATGAGGATTGGCGAACATAGTTATCCTAACACTTGTATCCCAGGCCATGTTTTCCTAACTGTGAAGGAACGGGTCGTCATCCGCATTCTCAGACTTCGCTTTTCCGGCAGCATTTCAACTCGTATGTCACGAAAGGAAAACTCTATGACGTCGGGATCCACCACAACGGTCCTTTTTAAAGAGCTCATGACTGTTCTAGGCGCTGCTGGTGAGGAGGAAAGGATCACTTTGGAACCGGGAGAATACGTTTACCCCTTTAGCTTTAGAGTTCCTTTGACCAGCTTGCCTGCGTCCTTTGAGGTGAGAGGGGATTTTGCGGCATGATATTTCCATTCGATGGCTCTGACTGCCGACCGGTTGATGTTTATGTTTAGGGCAACTTTGGTCGGATCAAGTACGAGGTGACGGGAATTCTTGCACGCCCAAACGTCAATATCAAGACATGCTCCGCTGTCCTGACCATACCTTCCACCGTGGATGCAGCTGACTCGCAATATCAGGCTCCTCTCGACACGAAACTGACAATCCCAGTTGGATTCTGGCTCTGGCGGACAGGTCATCTCAACGCATCCCTCTCGCTACCAAAGGGCGCTTATTCTTCCGAGGAAGTTGTACCTTTAACGCTGGACGTCGTCAACCATTCTGCATCCGGTGCGGTGTTGAAAGATGTATATATGAAGCAGTCGGTGATTTATAAGACTGGCACTGAGTACGTTTTCTTGTAAATATTTATTCTCGTCGGAAGATGCTGCTAATTCTGGTTTAATTTCATCACCTTAGAACTAGGGGCCCAAACACGGAACGGGTCCACCGCCTAACCTTTTCCGAAACCTTTCCCGCCCACACACGTCATGTCCGCCGTATAATTAACTTCCCCATACCCTCTACCTCCATCTTCTCTCCAACCATAAAAACGACGAACCTAGAAGTCAGCCACACTCTTGTCGTCAAAATTTCTTCCACCCGAAAATTAGCTAAAGCCTACAAGCTTGAGATTCCCATCACGATCGCTGGTTTCCCTTCTACTCTTCCTGACTTCGGGTTGAACGGATGTCGCGAAAGCATTGACACTCTCCCGATTTATTCACCACCACCTATATCTACTCTCTCTCGAGACATTCCCGGACGTGCATCGTTTGGTCTCAGGAGAAGTATTTCTACCACTCGATCGAGAGCTGGTATCGTTACTGCTGTACCACTACGTGCTGATGAGGATACGGGAGAGGAAGATGCAAGGGCTCGTCCTAATGAAGGAAATCCAGCCGCTCCATCGGCATCATCCATGTTTTCGTCGTACTCTTCTATGTATAGGAGACGACAGGCCAACGAATCAACCGCTACAGAGGAGGCGAGACGGAGGAGGTCAAATTCACGGACAAGGAGTTTGGGTAGACTTGGGCTCCGTGACGGCGATTTGCCCTCTAGCCAGACATCACCGACTTTGTCCCATGGAAATGGAGAAGGACGAATTGCAGAGGCTTTGCATTGCATTAGCCCTGAGTTTGTTGAGACTGATAGTGAGGATGAAAGCGAACGAACCCAGTCGGCGAAAGGGAGTCTTGGCAGAAGCGGAACAGTTTCTGGACCTTCCCGACTTCACACTAGGATGCAAGCTCTGCCAGAGAGTGGAAACTATGCCGGTGGTAGAGGCTTTATAAACTCAGAAATCCCGCCCATACCGTCCAAATCTGGCTCACGAAGCACCAGCATCTCAACACCACCTAGGTCATTACTCCGCTCCGTCGCTGGCCTTGCATGCTCTGAATCACCTGTTTCAGCGTCCGCTGCATCAAGTCTCGACTCTTCCCCGTCGCCGTCATTAGTAACTTTAAATAGTGGAGATGCTAGGAAGGGCCCTTTGAGGAACAAGGATTCTGCGGTGGCGTTGGACTCTATGGGGGAAGGAGAGGCTGAGGAATTGTGAAGGATAGTGGATTGAATATACTTAATTAGGTCTTCCACAGACTCCATGTCTTAGTTTGTTTATTTTTGATCTTCTCTCTGTCGTCGCTGCCTGTCGTCGTAATTCAGAAAAGCACCAAATGAAAAATCACAATACGGTGGATTATTGAGCCAAAGTTTATGATGTTTTTTTCAAGCGTAGATATCCAGTGTTTTATTGACGGTGTGTAAGTGTACAATCAAACATACAACATCGCTTATTCAAGAGATAAAAGAAAAAAAATCGGAGCATCAGCAACGCGCAAGCTGATAGAAATAGAAAAACGTTACTGAACAGAAGACGATGCGTTATTTTTTTGAAGGCGTTATGTAAAATTTAAGTGGTATTCGGTTAAGTAAGATCAAACGCATAATATAGGCAATTACCAACGCAATACAAAAGGAAAGGCAAGGCATAAGGATAGCATTCTCGTCCTGATTGCCATATGCTAGGTTCCAATATTTTACTAAATCGAGTTTAAAAAGGCGATGATTTTAGCGAACAAAGGCGTCAAAACGAATGACAAGGATCGCGCAAGAAAAATGTAAGGGTTTTTATTATGAGTTTCGAAGTGTGCAGTGACGTGCAGAGAGGGGAAGGACAGTGAAAAGGAGAGCATGAGCAAGGGAATCTAAAGGAAATAGCAAGTATTCCGAAAAATATTAAAGAAGAATAATTGAATGAATTAGAGCAAAAATACATCAGTGTTCTGGAATGAAAGAAAAAAAATTAAGATGGAGATTCTCGTATAAAGAAAAGCTCTGAAGGTAACAAGTGTTTGTGCAGCAGAAAGACTCAGAAAATAGAAAAAAGAATGGATTGACGGGCAACGCGTAAAATCGCATGAAAGCAAGAGTTGAGGAGAGAATCTAAAAGGGTGTAAGGATATTCAGCTGTGTACTCAGCAATAAATAAGTATTCCAAGCTTGCTAAGAAACAGTGGGGGATCATTTGCATCCATCAAAGTGACCATGGAAGAAGCGACCCTGACAGGCACGGCAGTCGAAAAGCCGGAACTTTGCACTAAGATGCCAGAAAACAGCAGCGACCTTCCGAAGTTGGTGATCAGAGGGTAATTGAGTACGGTCAGTCCCTGCGGGGCTAATGGACGAGCGTGGGACATAACGGCAGAGAATGGAGGGATAATCCGGGGAAACATAGCACTCATTCGGCCGACGGAGGTCTGAGCTGAGAGGCAACCGAGGCGCCAGTACTGGAGGTCGGGTTAATTAAAAAAAAGAAATGACGTGACAAGGACAGCACGCAGTTTCATTACGACAAAACCAAAAAGCAAGCCCCATCGGGGAGTCGAACCCAGGACCTATGGTTACCCTTGCCTATTGGCTTAGAAGACCATTGCTCTAAAACCACTGAGCTAATGGGGCTTGTATTACGTGAGGAGACGAATTTTGCCGCTATATAAT